GGTGGCCGGAGGTCGGAGAACGGTGGCCGGAGAGAGAAGAGAGGAGAGATGGGAGTTTTAAAATACCAAAAATATCCTTGCATTAAAATTTTAATTTAAAATTATCAAATTTATAAATTTCTTAATTTATCTATTGATTTGTGGTTAATATTGGTTCTCCCAGTTACCACAAACAACTCAGTTCTCTATTGAATAGGCCCCTCTATATATATATATATATATATATATATATATATATATATATATATATATATATATATATATATTCGAATCATGTGGAGTATGAATATGGTATCAAAATTCAATAGAATATGTCGATATGTTGCGTAATCTTTTCATCGTTGCTAATTGGACCCCAGTTGGTCAAAGAGTTAGGAGACTAGTTGAAGTCATATCTGATTCAAGCATCTCATAGTTTAATTAGTCTTCAAGTTAATCCGATAAATTCGAAGTATCTGATAGACGATCAAATTTTTAAAGATCGGCGTCAGCCTAACCTGTTGGATTCATACCATGTTTACGTGAATCAGGTAAAATTTTTAATATGTTTGATGTTTATAATTCAATTTCTGGCATCATTAAGTGGAACCCTAATATTATTTCCCCTTAGGGTTGTGGGTTTTTAGGGATTTGTAATTCTTTAGATAATTTCAGAAGTGATCGAATTGATCTTCATCCTCGTTATTTGTGTTTCGAATTTGATTGGGGATTTGTGTTTGAGGATTCTATTTTTCATTGTATTGATCGACTATGACTGTTCTTTCTCAAGATTGTATGCTGTAAAGCCTGTAATCCAATTAAATTCAATAATTTCCAACAGAAAAGGATCTAATTACATCAAAATTTCTGTGCAAATATTCCAACATAAAGTTGTTGGTGTTAATTTTGTCGTGGCCCGTATTAATTTTGAATTTGAAGAGATAAATTTGACCATAGATGGTCAAAAGCACCTCCTTTTGAATCAAGGGAATGCTGATCAGCAAGCTAGCTTTATTGGAAACCCCCAATTTGGTAAGCCATAAATTATCTAACTTATAAGCTAGCTTTTCGAAAAGCTACTTCCACGCAGTTCTTTTTTCTCACTTTTTTCCAATCATGAGCCGTGTATTTTGCATAAATGGCCAAAAATCTTAGCAGTTTAGGTCATTTTACATTGTAATCTAGCTTAACAGCTAGTTTATTAGCCAACACAAGTAGCTTTTCAGCTATTTTGAGTGTTGAACTATTACCGAAGAGTGTAGATTGCTGTGGTGTGAACCAGTATACTTGGCTTGTTGATTGTTTTAACTTTCACTTCAGTTAGTCCTTGTGTGTTGCCTGGGCAGCTGTGCAGAAGTTTTTGTAATTCAACTTTGAAGAATAGAATTGGCGGCTGGAGTAAGACAGGGTAGATAGTATCAGCAGGCATGGCTGGAAATGAGAATGGGCCTGTTCTGCAATTTGCGGCCTTTCAAAGTTCTGTGGATGAAGGCTTTTGGCATGGATTGTCTTCATTGAAACTCAACAAGCTAAAAACTGACGAGTCACCAATTTCAATAACGGGTAGGTTGCTCTAACTTTTTATGCTTTACCCATTCATGGTATGGCAAATTTCGGTTATAGATTTTGTTGGATTTATTGATGAAATCCTTACCATATATTAATGAATGAAAACAAGTCAAGATACTTGTATTATTGGCATATTAGAGGAGAAACATCAAGAAGAATTAGGTTTCTAAACATCTTACCAAGAAGTAGTATTCTTAATGCATCACACCTAGGATAAATCTAAGGCATCATATAAAGAGGCTTTTGAATAACTAATAGCCAAACCAAACGAAATAGACCCATAAAATCCCACTCGAAAGTAGGATTT